CGGGTTGGGCAAATGGGGTCATTGCCCACAGATGCCCACTGATTTCACATCGTGGTAACCGGAAATTCAGCCTACACTTGTTGGGCCTAGGCAAGTCCCGAATGCGTCCGAGCCTCTGATCATTCCTGTGATGAATTGCCCTGTGTGCTTCTGAGTTAAACCATGGAATCCCAGTACCGCTGCAGGCATCCGGATACTGGATTTACAGCTGCGGGTGGCGCAACCGTGAGGATTGGGTGGCCTGATGCTACGAGGAAGTTTTTTTAATCTTTGTTTGTTTTGGCTGCTTCTCGACATTCCTGTACCACAATCTCAGCGGGGTTGAGTCCGCGCTGTCGGTGCTGCCATGTTGCTGTGCATCCAGCTGAGGGCAAAGACGCAGCCTCGATATGGTATGGTCCCAGCCAACAGCTGGCAGGCGAGCTCATACATGGATCAAGATAACCCTAAACCCGAACCCTAAACCCTAAACCCTATAAACCCTAAACCCTAAACCCTAAACCCTAAACCCTAAACCCTAAACCCTAAACCCTAAACCGTTGGGAGCTTAAAGTTTACAATCTTTAAATAGTTTCAGCCATGTGCGATCCACAAGAGCCTTTGCATGAGCATGGAACAGCCGATTTTGCCTTGACAGAAGTGGGCAACAACCCACGGCGTCTTCTTGCCAAGGAAGCACGAGAAGCTTGGTCGATCTTGTGGGCTGTCGTCCCCTGACGTCTTTGCTGGTGCTCGGGATGTTCTTCCCCCCTAAACCCTAAATCCTAAACCCTAAACCCTAAACCCTAGACCCTAGACCCTAAACCCTAAGCAGAAAGCTCAGGAAGATGCTGAGTTCCTGGACCGCTGCTGCGTGCTGTTTGGATCGTGAAGCCCTGACGTTGAGTAGCCCCAAAGCCCCCATCTGCTCGGATTGCGGTCGCTGATACAAGTACGGCTTGGGATGCTCCCCCTTTGTGCTAACAGTCCTTAATCGGGAGTATTATAGGGGGTACTAACATCCCTATTATGGGCTGTTAGTACAAGGGGGGAACATCCCAAAGTATGCCACCACTCAATGGGATTCCGGTTTCAGTAGGAAGGGGCTCCCACCCAAGGCCTTTCCAGGTTACCCGCAAGACGATGAGCCTCTGCCAGAGCTTTTGGCAGTGTAGACTCCAGCCTTCATCTGCAACCCTAGGCCAAAAAAAAGACTGCACAGTAGCCCTGCAAACCCTGAACACTACAGTCCCGCATCCTCGAGCTTTCCTAAGCCACCTTAACCTCCCGCAGCTACTCCCAACTACTCTCGGCCACCCTAAACTAAACCCGAACCCCCTAGGCTCTAAGCCCGAAGCCCTAAGCCTTAAACCCTAACCCTAAACCCTCGACCCTAAACCCTAAACCAAAAACCAAAAACCAAAAACAACACCTAAATAAGCCTTATAAGCCCTCCAGGAGCGACTGCGCGGCTTCCGTAGCGGCCAGCGGGGCCCGCCGGAGCCTCCGCGTCCCGCGCAGGCCGAAACTCTCCTTGCAGACGTGTAGTTCATAGGGTTTTGGGGTTTGGGGGTTTAGGGTCGTTAGGGGTTCGGGGGTTTTTAGAGGTTTTAGCGGGTCCCAAACCAGTCTTCACAACGCCCAAACCCCCAGAGCAATGCACCAAACAGGTCAAGCCTCGATGTCCAAAACCCCTCGACACCACGCCCAAACCCGCGAAGCAATGCAGCACCAAAGGGGTCAAACCTCGATGTCCCAAACCTGTCGACACAACACCCAAACCCCCAAAGCAATGCAGCACCAAAGGGGTCAAGCCTCGATGTCCCAAACCTGTCGACACAACACCCAAACCCGCGAGGCAATGCGGCGCCAAAGGGGTCAAGCCTCGATGTCCCAAACCCTTCCACACAACACCGGACCGAACCCCCCCAAAAACAACACAGCACCAAAAGGTCAAGCCTCGATGTCCCAAACCAGGCGACATAACACCCACAACTTGGCCCAAAACCCAAATCAATGCTGCACCAAAGGGTCAAGCTTCGATGTCCCAGACCACTCTTCACAACGCCCCAGCCCCCAGAGCAATGCAGCACCAAAGGGGTCAAGCCTCGATGTCGCAAACAAGTCGACATAACACCCAAAACCCAAAGCAATGCAGCACGACAGGGGTCAAGCCTCGATGCCCCAAACCCGCCGACACAGCACACAAACCCCCAAAGTAATGCAGCACCATGGGGGCGCAACACACAACCTTTTGAAACAATTCAGCCCCAAAGGGTCAAGCCTCGATGTCCCAAACCCGTCGACAAAACACCCAACCCCCAGAGCAATGCAGCACCAAAGGGGTCAAGCCTCGATGTCCCAAACCCGTCGACACAACACCCAAACCCCCAAAGCAAGGCAGCACCAAAGGGGTCAAGTGTCGATGCCCCGAACCCGTCGACACAGCAGAATATATGAACATCTAGAAGATCCTCCCCTGGGAAGGTTCCTCAAATGATATCACCACATATCCAATCGCAGTTGCATTGTAATACCAAAATAGGGACCCTCCCCTGAGGAGGTACCCAATATCCGATAACAAGATACGTCCAAAATACTGCAAATCACCCAGATACGCATATGCTGCTCAAAAGAATACAGTAATACTGTAAATACACCTGGATCCAATGCGAATAGATAACATATGGCATCATACCCGTGGTGGACTGGTTCTTGGAAGTTTACTCCTCGTGGCCGCACGTACTTTACCTCTTCATGGCCGCATGGTTCTTGCGAGTGCATGTAGCGTCTGGTCCCTTTCTTGGGAGTACACGTCGTGGTCAATTGGTTTTGGGGCGTGCGCCTACGTCGTATTCGCTTGGTTCTTGGGTTTGTACCTTCCGTTATGACGTACTGGATCGTACCTACCGTGGCGGTGGGCCGGCTCTTGGAAGTTGACCTATCATGGTGGCTGCATGGCTCTTGGAAGTGTACGCGACATGGTTGCTTGGTTTTGGAAGTGCCGTCGCGTGTCGTGGTCGTGGCTGCGTGGTCAAGATATGATAAAATATGCTGTTGGGTCTTTGAATGGGCTAATTTTTACCAGCTGCACGCAAAAGGCTCAGCGTCCTGTTGCTTGTGCCCACGTGGGGGAAGAATCTGGGAAGCATGTTACTTGCCAAACTTCCGGTGCTAAAGCATGAGGGGAAGCAATGAAAGCACAGCACTTGATAAGTGCAGGGCCCTGTAGGTTGAGTAGCTGCTCCTGCCACTGCTCCTGCTGTCCATGCCATAACATCACCCTAAACCTAAACCCAAATCCCAAAGCCCTAAACCCCTAAGACCCCAAGAAGTCCACCCGACGCTTCAGGTGGTGGAAAGGGACGACGGACCTGCAGCTTGGCTGAGCGTTGCGTGCTTAAAAGGTGAAGTTTGAAAATCGGTGGGAATGGTTAGAGTGCAGGGTCTCAGACATTGCCCCACTCCCCCATCCTCCGCCCTCCCCCCATCCACCGTAGCAAGCTGAGCCATGCAGGTGTCCACGGCGGCTGCCAAGCAGTTCGGCATGGTGGAAATACAGGAACAGCAGGCGTGCCGAGTGCACCCACAGACGGATGAGCGTGTTGAAGTTTTGCCGCTTGTCTGGCAGGGCAGCAGCGCAGCAGCCCCAGATGAGCAGCTAGCTGCTGACAAGATCCTGGATCAGCAGAAGAACATGTAAAAGGAGCCCAGCAGATGCTCTTTGAGAGGCAGCTGGGCACGTCCGTGATATTCTGTATCACCTGTGCTCACCTCCACGTGATCGTGTGGTATCGGTTCTTGAACCTCCGCCTCCTGGCTTAGAGCCTTGCTGAGAATTTCCGAAGAAAGCTCGCGCAGCCCTTGCTTTGGGGAGCATGTTTGCAGTTATGGTCACAGCTGTGCAGCATCTGTGCTGTGTGGAGCTTGTGAGAAGCGAGTCGAAGGTGCATTCGCAGCTAAACGCATACAGAGTATACTAACATGCCGAAATGCTGTGAAACGGTCTTGGTGCAGTAGATTCAGTAGATCTCCAAATGGGCCATGTTGCCTCTGGGCAATGGCCGCGACTGCTGACGAAGAAGCGCCGAACTCGCCGAACAGCCATACGCTCAAATGAACCACAGAAATCCGAAAACCCACAAGCCTTTCAGCAACCCTCAACCCTACACCCTAACCCTAAACCCCAAACCCTAAACCCTCAACCCAAGAAGCCCGCAAGAAGCTTTCATTTGCCCACTTGAGGCCATGCCGAGTCTTCGAAGCCACGGCATCGACCCTTGCCACTCTCAGATGAGGCCGGTGATGTGCCGGTTTCGGGGCTAGGGTTTCGGGTTTAGGGTTTCGGGGACTTGCGCATCATCAGGCGCCTGACATCTCGACCAGGGCATGGGGGGTTCGGGTTGATCCAAGCTATGGCCACCAATTTGGGGTAGCCAAAGTGGCCATGACTTAGATCAAGCCCCCCCCCCCCCCCACCTACCCGCCCCCAAATGCTGACGGATGACAGACATGAGAGACGATTGATTTGGATGTCTGTGGCTTCTGCAAGTTGCAATGCAAGTTGGACGGTTCCTGACTTCGATGGCCCCCCAAAGCCCCTGCGCGAGATGTTTAGGGTTTAGGGTTTAGGCTTTAGGCTTTAGGCTTTAGGCTTTAGGCTTTAGGCTTTAGGGTGTTTTCCACTTGTGTGAGTGAAGGAGTCGGATGATTCCGACAGTGATCCGGCGGCGGTCGCGTGTCCCGCTGCACGCATTGACTTGGTAGAGGAGTGGGTTTAGGGTTTAGGGTTTAGGGTGATTGGACAAAGGCTGGAGGCTGCAAACCCTCAACCTTGAACCAGAATCAAAGATGTGTGTTGACCGCGCCATCCACTCTTCTGATGCCCTCAGCTGCCAGCTTCAGATGGCTCGCGCCCAGGAAACCCCTAAACCCTAAACCCTAAACCCTAAACCCTAAACCCTAAACCCTAAACCCTAAACCCTTATTGTGAGGCCTTTGTAAGGCCCTGCCTGCGCGACATGGCTTCTGCAACCACAGACCGGCCCCTGCATGATCTCCTTTTCGGACGTGACCCCGGAGAAGCGGTGCCAACTCATGCCCATGCAAGGGAACTGATAGCAAATGTTCCGCACGAGTGCGAGAGGCTCGCAGCCCTCTTGCGACGGGCAGATGCGATTCTGGTTGGCACTGGTGCTGGGTGGTCCGCAGACTCGGGATTGGCGACCTACAAGGATGTGGCAGACGTACCGGCTCTCCGTGCAGTCGACTTAAGCTACTATGACCTCTGCCAAACGCGCTGGCTCCGGGAAGACCCTGCCGTTTACTACGGCTTCTGGGGGTATTGCCTTTCCTCGTACAGGCGCGCAACACCGCACGAGGGCTATCGGATAGTAAAGAAGTGGTCGGAGGACCTTTGCAACCGAACACCGCGCTTTCGAGAGAGATTTGCTGCTGCGAAGCTGAGCCCAGTCTTCATTTACTCATCAAACGTTGATGCTCACTGGCATCGAGACGGGCTCTTCACGGAGGATGCGACTTTCGAGTTCCACGGGACCTGTGAAGACTGGTGCTGCTCGGGGTCTGAAGCAGAAGGCCGGATGTCACCCTGCTGTCAAGATATCTGGCCTGTGCCCGCCGACTTCCACTTCGTGATCGACGAGAAGACGATGCGGGCGGAGTCCAAGGAGTCTGCAGAGCCCAATGAATCCAGTGCGAGCGAGATGCCTGAGCATGGAGGCTGCCCCTTCTCCCTGGCACAGAAATTGGGCAACCCCAATCGCCCACGCTGTCCCAGGTGCAGGAGTCTGCTTCGGCCTCGCGTGCTCCATTTCGGGGACGGCAAGTTCTTCGAGCGGGAGGGGGAGCGCGAACGCTTTGAGAGATGGGCAGAGTGCGTTTTCGACTGCATGACGCTTTGTAGCGCTCCTCTCGGTGATGGTGAAAAGGATCCAGCGAAGCATGTGCTGGGCGCCAGCGCAGGCGCCAGCTCGGGGGATATCTACGAGGACAAGGGGGCCAAGGGGGGCGAGGAGGCATTCTGCCTGGCAGTGTTGGAATTTGGCTGCGGGCTCAATGTCCCGTCAGTCCGCCGTGAGAGCGAGAGGCACCTGGACATGTATCCCGAGAACTGCGTCTTGGTCCGAGTAAACCCAGACTTCCCGCTTGTTCTGGAGAAGGAGCCGAGGCAGCGCATTGAAATCATGGCCGGAGCCCTGGAGGCCGTGCGCGCGGCCGATGCCCTCTTGCGCGGCAAGGAGCCCGAGGTTCCCAAAGCGAAGCCGCGCGAGCCACTTCCGAAGCCGGAGGCCAAGCCCCGAGCTCGAAGTGGGAGCAGAGCCAAGAAAGGCTGAATGCACCCAAATGCGCCCGAATGCGCCGAATGAATCGGAATGGGTCGGAATGCGGACATGAGATGTCGGGAACGGAGACGTGCGGTGCGGTGAGGAGGCTGAAGCCTCCTACGTGCTCGGAGACGCAGGTGCGAGTGCGACATAGTGCGACAATGGGACGAGGGCTGCGGTGCCTCCCGTGCTTGGAACTTGGAAGCTACGGGCCGTGGCTGCAATGTGCCGAGGGGCGATGTGAAAAAAGGGGCGTTGCTTTGAGGTTCATGGCACTTATTAACCAATGTTTCAGGGCCGACTTGGGGCCAGGCGTGTCAGAGCCTTTCCCTCAACTCAACACCAAAACCCCCTCAATCCAACGCCCCAAACGTTAAACGCTAAACAATGGCGAAGTTGACGTAGGTACGCCGCGGCAAGTGGCCTTCCTTCACTTCAGGACGCCGCATGAGCTTCATCAGTTTAGGGTCTAAGGCTTAGGGCCTAGGATTTAGGGTTTAGTTCAGTGGCACTTTGACTTGAGCATCATGAAGTGAAGTTGGCGAGGAGCACAACGAAACTCATGGCAGCAGCAGCAGCAGCAGCAGCAGCAGCAGCAGCAGCAGCAGCAGCAGCAGCAGCAGCAGCAGCAGCAGCAGCAGTTCTGTGAGATTGGTTCCTAGACGGAGCGATAGCCCAACAAATCCTACGAGGCCCCCCAAAGCCAGGTTATGGTTTTTCCTCCAAGCCCTGAAGGAACTGGAGCGGGGAGTTGCCGCCAGCCTTCCGCACTGGCCCTGACATGGCACAGCAGTTTAGGGTTGGGATGTTCCTCTTATACTAACAGTCCTTAGTAGGGATTATAGTACCCCTACTATTACAATCTCTATGAAGGATTGTTAGTATAAGGAGGAACATTCCAAGTTTAGGGCTTATAGTAGGGTTTCTAGGTTTCTAGTAGGGCTTAATTATTCATTATTGCAGATCAGGAATCCCTACATATTTTAAGGAGGTAGAACCCCTTATTTCATTATGGGTTACAGGTCTGTCAAAAGTAAAATTCCGCAAGTGGAGGGGTATAGGTCTCAGTCTGTTCCAAGGACGTCTCTCAACAACAAGGTGTTCCATCTTCATGCGGTGGCAACTTGGCACTGCGTTTACGATTGAGGCTTCCCGAGAGTTCTCTTAGGTTCTTAGGGCTTGGGGGCGGGGGGGTACTACAATATTCTCCGAAACTCTGAACCCAAAACCCTTAAAGCCTAAAAGTGTCAAGGGGTAACCTAGTTTGTAACCCTAAAGCCTGACAGAGGGCACTTATCTAAATCCTAAAGTCGCCAAGCCGTAACACACGCCTAGAATCCTAAACTCCAAGAATCTCCAAGCCTCTGCATGTTGGGGCATATGCCCTCTAAATGCCTAAGCTCGAAATCCCAATTCCCCCAAAAAATCCCCGAAGCTCACCGAAGCCACGACCGGTAGGCGAGCATCTCGTCGGAGGCACCGTGGGACACCAGGGATGACGGGACATGTGGGCGTTTCTGCAAAATGATGGCACCTTGTGTGGTCGAGACCTCAAGCTTCGTGGTCTTTTCAATCACACGAACCGGGTTGGGATACCTTCAAGTTTCGTGGTCTTTCAATCACAACGAACCCGGTCAAAGTACCTCACGTTTCGTTTTCTTTAAATAAAGTAACCCGTTCAGATACCTCATGTTTCGTGGTCTTTCAATCGAAGAACCCGGTTGGGATGCACCGAGATTCGTGGTTTGTCAATCACAACGAACCCGGTTGGGATACCCCAAGTTTCGTGGTCTGTCAATCACGGCGAACCCGCTTGGGATACCGCCAGTTTCGCGGTTTTTTAATCAAGGAACCCGGTTGGGAGTACCAAATGCTGGCAACGCTTGAGATGGAGGCTTGACCTATGCTATGTGCCGTATGCCGACAATGCCGCAAAAAAAGCTGTGAAGACATCACCATCCGCCTCCAACACGCTGTTCTGAAATCGAGCTGTTCCCTAAACTAACTCAGGAGTTGGGGACCCCTTTCCTCGAATTGAACCCTAAACCTTAAACCCCACTTGAAACATGTCAAAACCGGACTTGGTCAGGTTCTGCACGAGTCGCAGTCACAAGAGGCCGCGGGACGCTCCAGGGGGCCGGCAAAGGATTCAGGGTCGAGGGTTTAGGGTTTTTTAGGGTTTTAGGGTTTAGTGTTTAAATGTTTAGGGTTAAGGTTGAGGGGATCACATCAGAGCTGTTCGAGTCAGCTCCAGTCCAAATCCCACGGCGAAGCCCGGAACCTCAGGCCCTCGACTGCCCCTAAAGCGCCCTAAACCCTCAATGCTAAGCCCTATAAACGCTAAACCCTCAACCCTAAACCCTAGCCTCAAGCCCTGGCCCTCCGCCCCTGCCTCAATAAAGCTTAGAACCCTACCCTAAAGCCCTAAACTTACATCCCCCTATATATGCCCTTCAACGGATTATATAGGGTACCTCATTCCGCCATTCCCTACTAACCAACAGTAAGTAAACTCTGTATGATGAAGCCTCAGGCCCGAAACACCCGCGCTAAAGCCGAAAGCCCATAGCCAACCCAACAAACACTCGTATTCAGCACCGAACTTAAAGCCTTCATTTGAAGTCCCTACTCCCTCCCCCCCCTTACCCCCCTCAGAAAGAGGAGAAACAACAGCACATCCCTACTCAAGTCCCCTGCCCTGTTTCCCTTCATGGGACTCGTTTCGAAGCAACCAGCCCACCCCGAAAAGGGTGCCCTTGAGACCCTAAACCCTAAACCCTAAAGCCCAGAGTAGCCTTTCAGATATTGGTGACCTGGCTACCTTAAGAAGCGGCAGGCTAGCCCACAATCCGGACATCCCTCACTCCGGCGAGGTGCTAGAAACGATTTTAGGGTTTAGGGTTTAGGGTTCAGGGTTCAGGGTTTTGGGTTTTGGGTTGTGGGGTGCACGGTGCTTCGGTTCTTGGGGCTTTGAAGGATTTTGAGGGGTTGTCTTTGAAGTGTCTCCTGGGGCCTTGATGGAGCTTTACAGGGCTTGCTGCGTTTTGGGGCTTGATGGGCTTGAGGGGAGTTTAGAAGGACCCTAAGCCCTAAACCCTAAAACCTGCCCTGTAGGCCGGCGTGCTTTCAGCGATGCTGGGGAGCACATGCCACTGGGCAGGACCGTGCCATGCGTTGCGCAGGTTCGGGGTTTAGGGTTTAGGGTTTTTAGGGTTTGGGGTTGAAAGGGTTTAGGGTTTATAGGGTTTAGGGTTTATCGGGGTTTGGGTTTATGGGGTTTAGGTTTTATAGGGTTTAGGGTTTAGTTAGGGTTTAGGGTTTACGGTCATAGGGTTTGGGGTTTAGGGTTTAGGGTGGGGATTGATATAGGCTGATATCGTAGGGCCGAAGTCCTGAATCTTGCCCTACCGAACCTAAACATACCTTAAAGGTCGGGCCCCGTAACCTAAGCTTTGCCCGCAGAACCCTCAAGGCTCCCCTAAACCCTAAACCCTAAACCCTAAACCCTAAACCCTAAACCCTAAACCCTAAACCCTAAACCCTAAACCCTAAACCCTAAACCCTAAACCCTAAACCCTAAACCCTAAACCCTAAACCCTAAACCCTAAACCCTCCCCCTCCCAGCTTGGCCTTTCGCCTCGAGGAGCCCGCCGCTGTCGCCCGGGCCCCAGAGACAGGGCTGAGTTCCGCAATCGTACTGTTTGGTTAGTCGGGACTGCGGGGGAATTGAGGTACCCTATACCATCCTTTAAACGGGTGTTTTTAGGGCCCGAACTCCCTCATTCCCTGCTAACCAACAGTTAATCAACAGTAAAAAATTCGAGTGTACCGGTTTTGAGGATTCTTATACTTACGGAAATTTTGTACATTGGGGGAATTTTGGGAGGGACCCCTGCTTTGGGACATGCTGAGCCTCAGCTGGAGTTCTCGGTGTGAGGCCAGCAGGCGAGGCGCCGAAAGGACCGGCGCTGAGGGGAAGTCACTGCAAATCGCATGTCTCATTCATGTCCCGACGGCGCTGAGGGGAAGTCACTGCAAATCGCATGTCTCATTCATGTCCCTACTCGTATTTAGAGCACCCAAAACGGGACCATAATTTAGCCTTAGCCCCCGTTATTTTCGGGTACCCCAACAGGGACCATAATTCAGAGAACTGACCGCATGATAGTCCAGCTCTGATGCCAACGGAGGCCAGGTAGACGTCCCGCACGATGTCCTGCACGTTGGCCCGCTGGACTTCGCCTCGTCATTCGGTGCCCCCAAGCCGGTTTAGGGTTTAGGGTTAAGGGTTCAGGGTTCAGGGTTCAGGGTTCAGGGTTTAGGGTTTAGAGTTTAGACCTCAGGAGACGTCCAAGAAGGTTTAGGGGAGCAGCGACCAAGGAAATTTGTGGATACTTCGAATAAACACCCCACAAAATCATATGACCCCTACAGACCCCGATCCTGGACCTTCAGGTTGCAGCTGTGGGCTGCGTTTAGAAAGCATCGAGATGCCTGAAACATGTGAGAGACAAATGCCGAGTTTTTTGAGCCTTCTTGGCATGATCCTTGCAAGCTTGAAAGCGTGACTTTTGGAACTGTCAAAGTGGCACCCATATGGATACGTATCCAGCATGCTATCAGGGTCTTGTGGTTCCAGAGCCAACATAGCACAATCCCCCCTTAAAAATCCCAGGGTGAAAGCGTCAAACGGGTTCTCAGGGTTCAGGGGAGGACCCCCCTAAACCCTAAACCCTACACCCTAAACCCTAAACCCTAAACCCCACAATAGCAACAGCTGATCATGCCAGGCGGCGTGGACCCGGCTGTGGTGTATGTGAGGCCAGCTTCCCTGCTGAAGCTTGAGCTTGATGAGTGGCTTTAGGGTTTAGGGTTTAGGGTTGAGGGTTGAGGGTTTAGAGTTTAGAGTTGAGGGTTGAGGGTTGCAAAGCAACCGCAGTGACAAGAGCTTGCTGGGTCGTGGCGATATAAGCGTCCGTTGCAGCTCTTGGCAGCTGGCGCGCCAGGCT